TGCGGAGATAAATTCCGTCTGTGCATCTGTCAGCTGCTCTTCATCAACTCAAGACCAATCACAGCTGTACAGAAGGACAAATCACCCACACACCTGCTTAAAGGGACAGTTCACCCAAAAATACAAATTCGGTCATCATTTATTCACTCTCATGTCGTGTCAAACCTGTATGACTCACTTTCTTCTGCAAAACACAAAACAAGCTATTTTAAAAGACTTTCGGTTCCCATTATACGGTAAAAATACAATGTAAGTCAAAGGGAACAAAAACTATTTGGTTATCAACATTTTTCAAAATATCTTCTTTTGTGTTCTGCAGAAGAAAGTCTGGAAGTTTGGAATGACATGAGCGTGAGTAAATGATGACAGCATTTTCTTCATTATTTAACATTATTTCTAGCCATTTTGCCATTCTTATGGGGCAGTTGATGGTGGGATCAGGAAATATTGTGAGCTGGACTTGACCTTGCATTACCAGCATAAGCACAAACAGCTTTCAAAAGGCTTTTAAGATGAACATGATCAGTCAGACCACCGTAATCAGCCATTCATCCTGGCCAGAGTGTGCAGTTAACCTCTCCATTACACTTGTCACAGTGGGAAATCAGACATCTTTTAGGGTTTAGAGTCCTGCTGAAAACTGAAGTGACAATGAATCGTTCCTTTATCTGAGCGCTCACAGCACTATATGGGATGTCCTGTCACCATGACAGCAGCTCTTCCATCACTCACATCCAATAAACAGATGTTTTCTGCTCTTGTGAGTCAAAATGCTGATCATTCTAAATATCATAATAATTCGTTGCATTTATATAGCGCTTTTCTAGACACTGAAATCGCTTTACAATGTGGGGGGGGGGATCTTAAAGGGGTCATATGATGCGATTTCAAGTTTTCCTTTCTCTTTGGAGTGTTACAAGCTGCTCGTGAATAGATAAGATCCCCGAAGTTGCAAAGACTAAAGTCTCAAACCAAAAGAGATATTCTTTATCAAAGTTAAGACTCTGCCACGCCCCCCTAAAACGGCTCATTCTAACACGCCCCCACATGTCTACGTCACTATGTGGAAATATTTGCATAATGCCGCCCAAATGTGCACGCAAAGAAAGAAGGCGTGGTTTCAGTAACCGCAGTTAGTGTTGAAGCAGCCATGTCAGGGAGACGCTGTGTGTTTCTAGGTGAAAGCAAAAGCACTTTATTTGGCCTTCCGAAAGTAGATGCATTTAGGAATCTTTAAGATTACTTACAACAGAACAGCATTTTATGGACGACCGTTTCGTGAACCTAGGACAGGAGGTAATTCTGACTTTGCTATGACAATCTGGCACTTCTGAATCAGCTACTGTTTTGTTATTAGTTTAAGTATTTGCTATTGACTGTTCAAATGCGGAGTTTTGCGCA